TTTTTACTATTAACACAATCGAATTTGTCACGTTTAAATCTTGATCAACGACATATACCATTATGCAAAGCCTTTTCTTTGTTAGTTATTGCTCTTCTTCATTTCCTACATACACAATTAGAGCCACAACTATTAAAAGTGGCTGTTCAAAATATGGCGACAAAAATTATGTTAAATAATGAACACCAACAACAACAACAACAACGGGAGTATGATGAAACATCGACCGAAGTAGATAGTAATACTGAAACTCAAATACATCGGCGAAAGTGAGCATATATTTTTCTAAAAAATTGTCTTTCTTTTTTTGTTTGAATTATTTCGCGCAAGACATAGTACATTTCTTTTTTAGATCACTCCCAAATACCAATATTGAACCGTCCATTGAGAAAACAAGTGAAATTGCTGATGATAATATATTCGTTTCATCTGAACCATTTTACATTATACTCTTTCGTTCTTATAATCATCGTCACGTGTATACTAGTTTGAGTATTATTCTATTTTTATTTGTTTATATTACTCTTCTTTGGCGTATATGTACATTTTCAACATGGTTATTAGCTATAACAGCATTTGCATTAGAATTATCTATTCGTTTACTCGCAGCATTAGCTCAATATTCAGTCTATGTTATGGATATTAATAACCGGTTAAAAAATTTGGACAAATTTGATGACTACATATTTTATATAAAAGCCGTCACCTCTTGTTTTGAATTTTTACTTGCTTTACTTCTTTTATTTAATGGATTATACATATTATTTTTTGAATCACGTGGAACAATTCGAGCATTTATGCTTGGTATTCATGCACATTTTAATATTCATATCTCTGCTCGAAAAGGTTATAAAATATATAAAAATAGAAAAACAGCATGGAACAATGTGAACAAATTACGTTTGGCAACATCGGATGAGATCAAAGCGTACAATGATATATGTAAGTTGCAAAAGATAAAAAAATGCTGATAAATACCTACAGTATAGAGGGCTCACATTGTGTTTAAGTTCAATTTTGATGAACATTATAGCCACAGTTTAACTGCGTTTGTCGATATGTAAAGGCACGTTATAATGCATTATTAGCATGATTGCTTCGTCCTTAAATGACAACACTGACTTTGTAAGCAACTTGAGTGTAATTGGCCTTAATCCAGTCCCGAATAATTCGTAATCACTGTCTTTTAAGTACGCTCACAGTTTCTATTTCTCTTTTTCGTGTGGTTATTAACAAATAGTTCAGATCAAACAGTAGTGTCCTCTGAGTTTTTTAACTTATGAACGGACTTTTGTAAAAGACGAAGGTTTCTTTCTTGGGAAAAACTTGAAGTGAAAAGTTAAACTAGAAATCATATTTTCGAATCTCAATTCGAAAGATTTAAACAAGAATCAAGGAGGACGCTATCTGAGTGTTCTAATTCTCCCTCTCTCTCATAGTTTATAATGGTTTTTATTTTTTGAGGTTCTATATGTCATCAAAAATTAACCGTAACAAACACTTGTGTCACAGAATGTCAACATTTTTTCCATCGAGTGTGTTTGAAAAAATGGTTTTATACAAACTATATCTGTCCATTGTGTCAACGAGTGATCAGCAAAAACGACAACAATGGAACTCAACAGTGATGAAATAATGAATCTTCAACACCTCTCAACAGATTATCTCTTTATCTTTTGATTATGGTATTGTCTCACACTCCACCCATTATATCACAGTTTTATATACAATGCATTCGTTAACAGATCTTTTTCTCTGTCTGCTAGCCCAGAATGCTTAGGCTCGTTTTATTTATAGTTACGACGAATAATAATAAGGTATGATTGTTCTTCTCTCAAAAAGTTGTAAATTTGGCGAACAAATTATATACACAATTGTTTTACATCTTTTATCTTACTCACGAGGGAAACTCCCGAGTGTATCACCGTTTTTTCTCGAAATATACATGACTACATGTAATCGATGCTGCTGATTTGAAATATCATCGTCATTTTTGCTCAAACTGCTGAAAAAACCTGTTTTTTCTAGAAAACTAAGTCTTTAAAGTAGTTTGTGAAACAATGACTATAATATTTGAATCGGTTACATGTAGTCAAATGTATTTCGAGAAAAAAACGATGATACACTTGGAGCGTTTCCCTTGTCAATTTCACACTATTGCTCAGCAGTGAACGTGTTTTTTCTCAGCTATAATTTTCTCGTCTGAATAATTGTATTCTATTGATTAAACTAAGATAAGGATGTTTCTGTAATATTGTAGATTCCTAACGAAAATAGCTACCGCTATAGACGAAGACAAAAACAATAACTATTGTCTTATCTCTATTTTTTATACGCATATTTGATTCTCTTGTTTGTTGTTGTACATTAGTGTTTTTTTTGTTTACTAAATTATCCGTTGTTTTTTTGTCGATCAAGATTAAACTGAGAAAGATATTTTGTTGTTTGACAATGGAAGAAACAGAACGTTCATAATTTTATGACTAATATTTATTTTTCAACTACTTATTTATTATAGAATTAAAGATGAATTCCAATGTGTTACTCTTTTTATTTAGAATTCTAATAAACTTAAATAAATGATCACTTTTCCATTGTAGATTTCACATAAATTTTATATTTCAACAATACATCGTTCGAAATGTATTTGAGTTAAATAGCATCAAAACTTCACTACAGAACAAAAATAGTCCAATAAATTGGAATGAATGAACATTATAATTTGTTGATTTTCTCTAGTAAAATAGACTCATCCATTATAAGAGAAAAGTATAACCGCCTATTTTTGGCCAAACGTGGATGTTTTACAATAATTGAAAAGTTATGTACGTGAATTGTTCGGAAAATATGGAGGATATTTTAAAGAACATAATATAGTCGGTATGTTCAATCTTTAGTAGAATCATATTTGACGTTTTTAGATTATCTTTTATTTCAGGGAGAAGTTTGTTTATGTTAAATGATAATTTATTATACGAAATGGGGATCATCAATGAGGATCACAGATAAGATCAGAACTAAAACATCAGGGTTAAGACTTTCACTGTTTTTTTTAGAGCATTATTTCTTGTTGAAATAGCAAAGTTAATGCTAAAATCTGATTTACTCAGTTTGAAAAACATGTATAATAAAGGTAAGTTTGGTGTTGTTTATGTCGAAAGATTTCTTTTATTATTGTTGTTGGTTCATTTACAGGAACAATACGATGTGTAGACGATAATTCGTCCAATGATACACCATTAGCTTTGGAGTGATGGGAATTGAACATTTCGAGTTTTCTGTATGAAAACATCTGTCCGTTAAACGATAAAAATGATCAATGATTGGCTGTTTCATCATACATGTAACTTTCTTACGAAACAAAGAAATCATAGTACATCTAAACAAAATGGCACTTCATTCGGTCCTGATAAAATCGATTTTAAGAAGAATTTTTTGAATATATTACGAGAATCGAGCTTTATTCTAAAAATGATTAATAATCCTTTTGATCTTCGTTTTCTCCCAAAATGTTATTCAATAGAATAACATCAAGTTTGACTGTTACTTATTTAATACACGTCTACAAGCTAATGAATCTCCCTTGGATTCTGTATTACTAATAAACGATGGTGCAATAACAGACCTTGTTTTGTACACTACAAAATAAAACATAAAACCGATTATTAACTTCCAACTGTTAATGGTTGCCAAGAGAGATGTTACTATTATTCATGAAGTCAGAAACTTATGTTCTGCATCTTACTTCTCTACAATAAGAAACATTTAATATTCTAAGCTATTTCTAAGTTTGTATGAGTCGAGATGTTAAAAATAGAGCGCCATCTACTTTAACCAATTATGCACCAGGTCTCACCAAATCAAATCTTATAGCCATGGCTTCTCAGGAGCGTATAAAACAAAATAATTGAATTTAGTTTATTGTGATTGGATTTGGTTATGTTATATTATACGTTAAAGTTAGGGATGAACATAGTTCTTGACTATTTTTTGATTCTTAAAGATATATTTTTTCTTTCGATAGTTTTGTCTAATCAAATGGAACAAGAGATAAGAGAAATTTTTATGTTCATACCTATAACATCATCGGTATCTTTTAACTCAAATAATAGGCCTTAGAATATGACAGATCTGAATTCAAAATAAAGTACATAGAAATTTATTAGGACTTGACTGATATGATTCAATTCTGAAGGGAACATTGATGAGCAATGAGCATCTGACGGCATAAATCGGATAATGTGAAACTGTTTTTCATCCGACTTTTACACAAATTGGGGGTATTCACAGTTTATCATCATATTTTCACGTTTTTCCTACTAAAAGTAAATTACATTTGCAGAGTTAACTTTTTTAGCTGTTTCGCTTGATCAACCAATTATTAAACACACTGGAAATGGATACATCAGTAGTGTATTTTCCATTCAGTTGAGATTTACTGACATGGTATCACTAATAAGTTGAATAAATGGTTATCAGTACTCTGATTCATTTCTTTTGCACGATTCTAACGATTTTGAAACTTTTCCATGCGTTTCTTTAAATGTAGTAAAGCGAACCCCTTAGTACACATATTTTTACCTTTTTTTTCTTCCCTTTCGGTAATCATCCTCTCCACATCTTTCTTATTTGGAGCTAACTGTTTTCTCTATTTTCTTTAGCTCCTAACAGAGACAACGTTAACGCATTTATACCTTTTTTATTTGACCTTGTTTACATATTTGATTGCTTATAAAAACCAAACTATACAGCAAAATATTCGATTTTTTTATGCGTTGTTTTTACTGAAATACTTCAGATACCTTTTGAGTGACCAGCGGTGCTGATCTTTTTTTGGTCATCTGAACTTTTCATTACCGCACAAGTTGCGTATGTCAGGTGTTTTTTTTTCCCTCTATTAATTATTATTTGCTACGCCTGTCTATATAGTATCAATTATTGTAGATGTTTTATCCCCGGTCGTATATTTGTACATTTTAAACCAAATGTTTTGTTTTAAAATGGTATGTGTTATGCTGTTTTGTTCTACGCCTATCATTCATCGAATATTCGTTATTTGTATCTTTCAGGGACATGGAGTATCTGTCGATAGTGGAAATAACGTTACTGATACAACTACAAATGAACATTTTCTTGGATTAGTTAATGTAGGTCTCTCTTGCTTTGATACATCAATTTCTTGTATACTTAATTTATTTACTTGTTTTTCTAGTTCGGAAATACATGCTATTGTAACTCTGTACTTCAAGCATTATATTTCTGCAAACCATTTAGAGAGCAGTGAGTATTGCAATTAAATAAACTCTAAAAATATCATCATCCTTTTTTTTCTGCCTATTTTAGCGTATTACACTATCGCTTACAGCAGAAAAATAAAAAAGAAAATTTATTAACTTGTTTAGCTGATTTATTCTATATGATAGTAACAGTAAAAAGACGAACCGGTGCAATTCCACCAAAAAAATTTATTAGCAAACTCCGAAAAGAAAACAGTAAGTTTGATCAATCGTATATTAAGTGTTTAAGTTCTTTTTATATTTTGTTTTCTATAGGCACATTTGATAATGATATGCAACAAGATGCCCATGAATTTCTAAATCATTTGCTCAACACATGTGCAGATATTCTTATAGGTATGAATGTGAACAAAATTCACTCGTTTAGTGATGTTAGGTAGTATTCATGTAAAAGACGTATAGAAGCTTTAAGTATATTGATTGGGTAGTCTTCTCTTCATTCATTTCTGAAAAGTCATTGTAAGACCATCTATTTTCCACTTTACTGATGATATTACTACCTCTACACAATCAATGAATCAAAATTTTAGATCCGTAATGAAAAGATGACTATACTTTTTTTTTCTCGAACGATTGTGACATCTTAGTGTTCATTTTGTGCAAGGCTTTTTTTTTGTTCTAGCTGAGAAGAAAGAAGAAAAAGATAAACATGATAAACAACGGATGAAATCAAATGGAAGTATTACTATCAATAAAAATAATAATAATAATTCACCACAATGTAATGGGACCACAATTATTGGTGAACAACAAAAACAAGAACAAAACTGTTATAATCATACAAATCCTCGTTCGTCAATCAGTACGTCGACGGATGATACATGGATACATGATTTATTTCAAGGAACACTTGTTAATGAAACAAAATGTCTTAACTGTGAAACGGTAATGAACATTTTAACAGTTAAATGAATACTATATGTCTTTATTATTATATTTTTTTAGTATAGTTCTAAAGATGAAAATTTTCTTGATCTATCTATCGATGTTGAAGAGAATACATCGATAACAACATGTCTTCGAGTATTTAGTAATGTTGAAACCTTAAGAGGTGAGAGTAAATACTATTGTGAAACATGTTCAAGTAAACAAGAAGCAACGAAACGGTAGGTTAAATTTGACTCTAATGAAATTATAAATAAAGAATTTTTTATTGTTGTTGTTTTCTAGAATGAGAATCAAAAAATTACCACGTATATTAGCGTTACATCTTAAACGATTTAAATATATTGAACAATGTAAACAGTATAAAAAATTGTCCTACAGAGTGGTGTTTCCATTCGAATTACGGCTTCTCAACACGGTAAGATTTGTTTTAGAAGAAAGAGTACCGTCTTAGTTTGATTACGAGTTTTTATATTTGTAAGATTCATCATATGAAACTATAGTCGAGTTTCAACAATTCATACTTAAGTTTTGGTTATTACTTCTCATTTTAGTCCGAAGATTGTCTAAACAGTGATCGAATTTATGACCTTGTCTCATTAGTTGTCCATTGTGGAATAGGACCAAATCGAGGTCATTATATAGCTGTTGTCAAAAGTCAAGGCTCTTGGATTGTGTTTGATGATGAAAATGTTGATGTAAGTCAATTGTTTGTTTTAAACATTGTTAAAATGATGAAAAACGTTTGTTTATATGTGTATTTTAGAGATTAGATCCAACGAATTTTGAAGAATTTTATGGCGTTACACACGATTTAGGAAAACAATCTGAAACAAGTTATATACTTTTCTATGAAAGTCGTGATCCATCATGAATAATAATCTCTCATAATCAATTTATAAAGAGAGTAATAAACCAAAAAACGAACAGTGACAAAGAAATGATATTCCGTCCAATTGTGTTTGTGTTAGTTGAGAAAACACACATCATAATATCATAAATAAGAGACAAAATACAAAACAAATTTATTCAGAAGACACTATCAATAACAAAAAAAAAAATATCATATTCTTAATAAAGAATGAAAGTACATGTTATAGAGAAATCTTGTCAAGTGGAATGTAGCGATAAACTTCACACACACACACACAATGTTTTATGTATTTGTGTCTTCAAAAGAAAATAGTGATGAAATCAAATGAATATGACCAAAATCGATCATGCAATGTATACCAGAAAAGAGAGATAAGAAATTTTATTGGTATTTTTTTAATGTAAAAGGAAGTTAGTCTTTCGTGTAAATTGTTTTTCTTTTTAATACCTATAATCATATTTAATCAAATAAACTTTCTCTTATTTTGTCATTTGTATTTCTGAACTACAAATATTTCGTTTGATTTTTAACTATTTTCTATTTGCCTATATATTCATTTGCCTTCATTTTTCACAATATAGTTATGAAATTCGATTGTTACAGAACGGTAACCATAGTGAGATCATATATAAAACAATTGTTGATTAGTAATGATGATTATGAAGATCGCTGCGTGTGCTACAAAATTCGAGTTTTATATTTGTTTTTATGTATTTTAAATATGACGTGTTTTGTGTTTCTTTTTTTGTCTTATTCTTTTTTTTTGTTAGTTCGACAAAAAGGACAATGATCGAAATTCCGTTTGAAACTTGCATTCTTACTAGTTTTTTTTTAATTGTGGTATATCAAAATATTTTTTTGTTTGTTTGTTTTTTTATTATTTTCTTACGATGAAGTAAATTTTTAAAAAGTTTCATTTAAATTAGAAAATGAACTATGACTGATAGAGTGAAAAGAGGGTTCTATGATCTTCAAGAAAAATAATAATCATTTCATTTCTTTAGGGAAGTAAATGGAAATAAATTTCCATCCGGTTTTTGGGATTGTTTGTTTTTCCTCTGAAACAATAGTTTTTACAAATATAAAATTGTCACTTTAGAAACTAAAATTTCAAACAAAACAAATCCATAAAAAATGAATTGAAGTTGAAGATCAAGCTACGTTGGTTGTTGCTTTCCTTCTACATGATCGAAGTTGAGAGTGTGAGAGAAGAATAACGTTAAATTCATTGATCATATTATAATCTAGAATTGGAAATTACAGTAAAGTGATCAATTTGTGTTAATGAATGTTACGCTACAACATTTCAGTTCATTCAGTTGCGTATTTTAATTCATCTATTATCTCTATAAAAATCAATAATATATAAACTTTTTTGTGGATTTGTTCAACTAACTCAACGGATAAATGTTCTTTGTCTTTATTTCAAAAGTTCAAGGTTCATACGCGATCATTTATCGTTACGGGCTAGGTACAACCCATGTGGACTTTTTAAGCAACTATCGAGCGATATAACTCGATATTAGTGGAAAAAATTGGCAATATTACGATAAATATCCTGTTTATCGCGATAACTTCACTATCGAGTTCTATAGGCCTACTTTGATATATCGTGCTATACACGGTATCGAAATAAGTTTCCCACCTATTGCGATAAAAATGGGTATCTCGATACAGCTAGTTAACATTTTATCACACTATATTGAGACAGAATTCTTATGTAGATAAGGCTTTTACTTATCTAGATAGAAAAATATTGAAGTAGATCACGATAAGAGACATAGCTCGTTGTACCGATGAATCATTGTCTACCGCCAGAAACTTCATGTTTATCGCAATAGAAACCCATATCTTGTTTTTATTTAGGTACCGATGAGTTACGATACATCTATGTATATTGTTGATTGGAATAACTATGCTGTTTATTACGCGACGTATACTGTATCCTGATACGTTTTAATTTTTAGATTGCTAAATCCAGATACTTTGAGTATCGAGATAGTTGCAGTATTTATCGAGATTATATTTATATCGCAACCACTTAAGATAATATTTTTTATTCCAATGTATTCCGATACTCAGGTGCTTGTAGTTTTACCACGATAAATGCATTGTTAGGATACAGCGTACCATACTGTTAATCGAGGTATTCTACTTATCCTGCTGATGACATTTTTATCTCGATAAAAAAATCTATGTATTAGGGTCCATTAACACTAGAATGCCCGGAAATTTTCATGACTTAGAACGCCCAAAGCGGTCATTTTGACCATTACTGTTTTCATTTTTAATTTTATAATTAAAAACGGTTCTGAATTAAAAAATGAATTAAAAATTCTGCAAAAACTGATTTTTGTGGGACAAATTAAAAGTTATGACATAATTTATTTTTAAGTAAATTGTATGC